GTACTTGCATTTCTGTATTAAAATATATTTTCTACCTTACGATTTATCCACGCGTTTCTTTGTTTATACATCTAATAACCTCAACAGCAATATTAACATCAAAAATGCAAGTTTCATTCGAAGAACCGTCATAAAAAATTCCAACACAATCGTAATACTACGTACAATTCGGTTACTAATGAGTTTTTAAATAGGATCGCAGCTTGAGTCTAAAGCGGTCAACCAGCATTCCGAGGAAATATTAAACGTTGCTACAGAAGCTTCAACAAACACAAGCTCAAACGTGAGAAAAATTAATAATCGAGATGCTTGATCGTCGTAGAATCGTTTCGCAAAATGGATAATGGTAATCTTGTAAGAAACTACGAACAAGAGAGAAATCCGTAAATATATAGATTCACCTGCTCCTAATGAACGTACGATAGCGTAAGCCAAACTCGACGGTAGTTTAGTTCAATACGGTTCTCCATGTTTACGTTCGTCGTGGGTGGTTTCAGGCTTATCCAACCAGAGGACCCGGACAAATGTACTGTCCCCACTGATAGTAATTAGTAGACAGGTGCTATACTCCTGGAAATACGCGCATCAACTTACGCTACAAATACTATTATATACACACACATCTATATGGATGATCTGCTGTGAATTACGATCGCGTGAAAAGCAGCAAACGTGTGTTCATCGATCGATGGCCAGTGGTCTGTTCTAGCGAAGCACGACAACCATAATTCCGATATGATCCAATTAAGGCTGATCCCGTTCCCATTTAATTGTTCCTCTTCGCAAAATTATCTGTTCCTGAACGATGGGTATCCCTATAGTTTATAATTAAGAAGTTCAGAACGAAAACGATCTTCATCAACTTTTTCAATTCTTTAGGTAGTAACGCATTGTAGAATACAAAAGCGTGATTTACAATACAATGGAACCGGTACTGTAAAGAGCGATTCGAGCTCTTACTTATCGTTGAATGAAAATTAACGTTTAAATTAACATTTAAATTAAAATTATTTTCGTGTTTCCCGATTACGATTAAATAACTGTTATACGTACCCTGACACGCACAAAAGATTGGTATTAAATGATTAGATAATTACGCGATTCAGAAAATAGATCAAACTAATAAGCTTATTAGGGATGCATTTCACGGACACGGACGTAACAAAAAGATAGAACAGCAACAAAGGACATCCTGTGTCTCTTAAAAGCTTTCTGTCCCTTTCGAAACGTTTGACGATTAATTAACCGCGATCCAATTAACATGCAATATGGAGTAGGTTTCTACTAGAATAGCACTTATCATCCTTTATCGTCATATCGTTACGCTGTTTGCTTCCTGTCACCATCTTCAAACAAGTTTCCGTGTAAAACCTTTGATGCCTTGATGCACGGAATTTCGGATATCATTTTATTATTGTATACAAATGACAGTATCCCTATTTAGCTTCTGTCGCTACTAAACGAAAGATGAATTAGTTTAAGATGAATTTTAATTAGGTGATTTTATCTGGGCAAATTTATAGTACAAAATATACGATATAACTGTGGCAATTTCGTGTCGATTGTAAAATACCGTCTTGACGAGATAACGTTTTCTATCGTTTCACAAAATAATCGCCTGGAACTTTTATAATTGGGCGTGTTTCGGATAAGGAATGACCTATAGTGACTCGTGAAACGTTCCGCAAGTTTATTTCCATTAAGAGATTTAACGAGTTTAATGAGTTCCAGAACAGAAGACGAAGTGTCTAACGAACGTCGAACACCGCAGTCGTTCCGCAGGATAACCGAAATTATCGTTTCCTCGTCTTCTTCATGTATTTAAGAAATATCATTCAACTCTATGTATAATAACTTTCGGACAAGATTTCACGGTTTTCTATACGAAAATGTCAAAATTTGAAACGGTCCCTTGATGAAAAACGCCAAACAAGCAAACGATGTGATTGGCAAAATTGTCATGAACACGTTTATTTCGATTGAAAATCTTTGCTTTTTGTACTTGTATCACTTATCAATTCAACTCCACATTTTCTAACTTACTTTTTTAACTATCTTCTAAAACGCATAATTTCCTGAGACTGGAATAATATTATTTATAAAATATTCCCCATATGCATCGAATATTTCACGATTTTGCTGCTTATCGTTTCGAAACGAAATTTCCCCGTAATTCGTTTGCCTTCAGTGCCGGGACATCACGCTGCCCGTTGGAAAACTTTTTTACTCGAATGAGAATTCCTAGTGAGAGTACTAGAAAATGGAAGTACTCTAACTAAAATTTCGACCGGTGAAAAGTTAACAGTACGCTTTATATACCACTGCCGCGAATTAAATAGATTAGTGGCGTTTCAAATTAACGTTTCGTCAAAAACGTGATCGCAAACTCGAAATGAGAAGTTTGTTTCGACTCGGACGTTTTTACAACATTTTAATTTCCATTAGGAGGTTGCCAACGCGACGGCCGGAACAAGGGGAAAAGCTTCCGATTAGCTCGATCGTGTCGACGGAAGTTTAAATCTATTTACGATGCGCTTGATTGACCGGTTACGAGAGAGCAATCCCCGATAAGCGAATATCTCTGGTTAACGATGTAACGACAAGGTCAAACACATCCTGGACGTACCAGGAATTGCCGCTGCATAGCCGAGAAATCGTGTCTTTGGGTACTTAACAGTTAGTCCCGTTGAATATTCGTCAGGGTCGGGACCTTCGAAACTTCTCCCTCCCTCTAAAAGCATAAATTTCAAGTAGGTCATGGAAACCGACCTGGTCGAATAATCGTCTGGAAAATGAGGGAAGCAATGAAAGTGTTCCTTCTTGGGAGCAGTACGAGTAGAAAATTCGTTAATTTCGTTCGATTGCTTTTGGATTCGGTAATTATATTCTTTCTCTTTTTTCCTACTTTTTCTCTTCCTTTTCTTTTAATTTCTCCGAACGGTGGAAAATTCAAATCGCTTCCATGATTGGAAGTGTGTGAGTAATTTTTAATGCGCTTTTAATGCGACTTTGTGTTGATCGTTTTTTCATAAACGTGATTAAGGGTGCTACGTCCGTTTGTAGTAACAATCGCAGGAAAGAGAAACGAATATAGTAAAAGCGTAATTTCCCTCTAAACGCGAATGATTACCGTGATTGAGTCTTATAAATTATAACTTTCTATTTTAACACAAACAAACCAAAAATTTCAATTCCTCTGTTATCTATTAAAGAGTCTCTAACTAAATGAAAAAAGGAATTCAAATTGGACGGAACATTCTTTTTACGTTCTACTTTTTTTCTCCTTTAAGGATGTATTTTAAAAAATCCAAGAATCGTTCCACGATAAATAGTCAGCGCGGGGAAAAGGCAATTGCATGGAACGGAAGTTTTAAAACAGTTCGCAACTTTTCCGGTAGCACTCGATGATATAGCCAGTAAATTGAACCGATTAAAAATTTAGTTATTCCGATGAAACTTTCCGACGTAATGATTTTCGAGATTTAGAAAATTAAAATCATATTATAAGCGAAGTAGCGCCATCAGCTGTGCATCAAATACTTTCCACCTGCTCTCCGTTAATTCCTTTTAATTTTTTAGTGAGCACCAGATGGCACACCAGGTACCGCCTCTTTTTTTGGTCTATTTCTTACATGAATTATCGATTAATCGTAGATGTTCGTACTCTACACTTTCCTTATAGAATTCAATGATATACCGGCAAATCGAGATTTCATATTCAGTTCTATCACAAGAAAAAGAGAACTGTAGATATTTGTAATTAATTCATGGATCAATTATTCGAATCTCACGATTTATGTCATAATGCACATACAGAGATTCTCTCAGCAATGTAGAAATAAAATATCGAGCCCCGGAGTTCCATAATTGAATAGAAGATTATCATCAGGGCTGAGATATTTCTATTCGCCGATATTAATTATCTATTTAATCATTCTATGTCATCGAATTCGCCATTTTTGTAATTGTTCATCAATTAGTTAGAGTAGTTGGCGTTTATTTATTTACGCTGCTTTTTTCTATGCTCGGACAAATGTAGAATAGAAAATTAAATTCGACAAAAACTTTCGAGACAGGCAGTCTACAGTTATTTACAGTGCCCTTAAAATAAAGCGAATGGCTGGAGGGTACAAAAAGTCATTAAAGTTTCACCGGAATCTCGGCGCAAGTTCACCGAGCCCTGTGTATTTATAGATGTGTAGTCGTGCATCTATCTCACCACAGATTTGATACGAAACGATCTAGTTTCGTGTGAAAGAATGTTTGTGTGTAGCCACCTATTCGGTCTACAATAAACGACAAATCTGGTTTCAGCAGAATGCCTTCCTATCGCCTTTCGAAACTTCGTTAGATCGTACAATCGTCAGGTAAGGACGTAACGCCACTGCAAAGGCAATTTTAAGAAAAATTTTCAGAAACTATTTCAGACAAGGCGTTTCGTATCCTGCGAGAAAATGAAATTTTGTTGTATCTCTCGTTTGAGAAAATAGTAGTCTATATGAACTTTATTTAAATATATACAAATGGAATATGAACTTTCGGACGTTCGCGGGGAGACACGATCTCGAAGCGCGCCAACAAGAGTCGTAAATTCCCGTTACGATTTGACTAATCGACGCCACGAATCGTTCGATCCCTTATTTCTTGTGGCATAATAAGGGTGGTTGATTGAATATAACGCTGCTATTAACAGGTTACTATATATTTTGAATGATCCAACAACTTCGGTGTGATACAAGATTGCGTATTTGAAATGACAACTACGAATGAGTACGACCTGAGACTCCTTTCGTGTTGGCGACTACGATGATGTATCTTTTGTCGATTAACTGTCTTCGACTTGTAGATTCTGCTTGACTCCTGACTCTTGCTGTTCCTTGCGTTCTTTGACTCGAGTTGATGTAGACCGACTGATGAGATTTGTCTATTAAATGTTACTGTGGAACAAGTCTAGTGTAGTAGAAGAAGTTGAGTTGACCCTTCTGATGTCGTAGAAGAAGTGAAGTTCGTTTTTATGTGATCACGGAGGAAAGCTCGGTAAGGGTGTGCCCTTTGAACGAAGAACGCGGATTCGTTGCTCACACTTTTCGTCAGGAAAGTGAGAGTTAATGGTTCCTGCATGCTAATAAGATTCGGTTTATGGTGGGGCCTTAGGTTTATTGAGGGTCTGTCTAATAATGGTGCTTGGGCCTTGACGGTCAGACAATGATGGACGTCGCAGGGACTCATCTCACGCGACGTAACGGAGTAAATTACGGAACTTTTAGTCTATAACTACTGACTACTGATTCTGCACTGCTCTATTTGCATCCAGTAGCAAACGTGCAATGCTATAGAGATTCTCAAGAAAAGAATTTTGTATCGAGTAATTTTTTTTCTTTATACATCATTTAAATTCCACTTTCTGTTCACTTCCACAAACCATTGTCTTTTACCTGCTTACTATGAAACTCGATGAAACCGTCGACAAAATAATCTTATGCTTCAAAAAAAGAAAAAGGGAAAGAAAAGGGAATATGGAGAAAACAAGGAAACAAGTCGACAGCATTCTCTTGTGGGATTTTTAAAATTAAGAAATTCAAAGTCCAATTGCAAAAATGTAGACGTACGAGAATTACAACTCAAACAAAACCTGGAACGATCCGTGCGGAGAAAAACGTCCACTCTGGGAATACAATCGTGATAATGTTGGGAAATAATATTTCCACGCTGAGGGAATCTTTTTTCAACGACATGTCGCGTGTCCGTCTAAACTCGCTCGGGGAATCTTTTCGAGAAAGCTTCGTAGTCTCTTCTTTTATGAAGACATCATCTCCCGTGCGTGTTCAAGCTGCGAATTTTTGACTATGTCATTAACACCGCGTCACGAACGCGCAATTCTTCGGCTTTCGGCCGCACTCCTGATACATGTAGTTAACAAGCCTTGAAAGCACGCTTTCGTGAATTGGGAAGTTGCTTCCGCACGAAACTAAGTGGGCAAAGGATAGGAAGAAATCCTATTCAGCGCCGGATTTTAATTTCCTTCGAGGCTAATTTACCGTGCATCTTTAATTTTGTTTACACCACTCTTAAAAATTCCCCGCTTCGTTCGAACCGTTTTATAATTTCGTCCTTGTTATTTATTTACCATACCATTCGTGGTTGTTCATTTTCTTTAATTTCGGGATAAATCAAAGGTACGTTGGTTACTTGAAAGAAAGAAATGGAAAAGACGTCGAGAGCAGAGTAACGAAAGATATCTTTAAATATGTAAAGTGCGCTTGAACAGAAAGAAAAAGCAAGAGGACTTAATATAAAATTTATTTTCTCCAGGACCAAGATATCATTTTTTATTTGTTCCGCATCTATTATTAATTAATAGATTTATAATTATATTAATATTCTTGTTATCGTTTATACTTAATATACATATATAATGCCTGGATGTTCGGAAACTCCTAAATCCACAGTAGTCATAAATTACGAAGTCAAAGGAACGTAAGCTTCGCATACATCATTCTGCGCGATACTTTACCAAGCTACTTCATATCTCCGAAGTACATTCGTAAACTCCAGCAAATCTTATTCGCTGCTCGAGTTCTATTTCAAACTTTTCTCACGATCAACGGATCAATCAAGCATAAGCATCACGCCTAGCAACGATGGCGACCGTTTAATTACCAGCGAGTTGGTTTTACGATATCGAAGCCAGACTTCCGCCTACAAATCCACAACACGAGTCCCTGGAGGTGATTTCTAACTCTAATGGAAGTAGAGCGACTTCAAATTGGCGCAGCTGACGTGTTTTAATCCGGCCTATTAATTCGCTGCTAGAAAGACGTCGCGTCGTGACGTATTCTATACGGTCGTGACCGATGAATAAATCGTTGTTAGCGACGTGCGAATATCATTCTAGCCGACCCTGTGTAATCCACGCGGGATTCCGAGCGATGTCCTTGAAACGAACGGAAAGCTAGGCCGGTGTATTGCTGAAACAGCGGGGTATGCAAATGAGAAAAGGAGAGGGATGATCCGTCGCTCTGCGATATCCATCCATTCCTTTCCTTTCTTCGTCTCTTTTGCCTTCCAACTCTAATTTCAAACGAAACTCTGCTGATTCGCGCGAAAAAAAAGAGCCAACTACCCTAGTCGAAGCGAACATGTCTTGTGTCGCGGATACAGACAGTAACGCATGCTCATTGATCACATTAAACCAAGTGGCCGATCGATGATGTTGTTATTTGGAATTGAATGTGGTTTCCCTACTCGGTCGAAACTCACACACCAGGGCAGTAGCTCCGACTAACTCTGAAAGAATAAGAGGGAGAGAAGAAGAGAGAGGGGGATGGGGGAGGGAGAGGGAGACCAACGCGATTTTCAACCAGTCTCCGAGGATTACACGAGAAATAAGATTCACCAGAATAAAGGATTTGTGGAACAACTTAGCCACCGAAACTCCGCAAATGTTAGATAAGGTACGAGTATGTACGATTCTCGCCAGCATTCGTTGCATTCGCTTCTTATTTCTTTTCTGAACGTCAGAACAGACCATCACCGTTATCTTCTTGTTTCCTCTGCTCACGAAAAACGGCTATCGAAGAGGATATCGCTTGCCGAACACTGAAAACTCATTTCAACTTCGACCAACGTACCTCACGGTCTTCTCGAGAAGAACTCGATCGGGGTTTTTAGAGCGCAAAACGCGTCAGTCGTAGTTGCTAGTTGGTAGTTGTTTGGAGTGGAGGATAACGTCTAGACAAAAAAGAAAGAAAAAAACAGGCGAAAACGCAAGTTAAAATGGAGAGGGCAATAGTTGATCGTGATAAAGTTGGGACAGAAGATCCGTGGAAGTGGATCTTCTCGAACGACCTCCTTGTTTCTTAAAGCAGTAGTAGACACCTATTCGTTAACCTCGCGGAGACTGGAAAAACGTAACAAAGGGGTAGCGGATAAGAAGAACACGGCGGAAAAGGTCTCCGGTGTGTAATTACTGGGTGAATTCTTATTAGTCGACCAGCGCCAGCACTCCCTACAGGCCTGTCCCCGCGTTTCTCTTTCTTTCTCCTCTATCTTCTTACCGTTATGTCCTTTACGATCCGTTACTTTCGAACTGTGCAACTCCGCAGAACCGCAAATACAGCTTGATTACCACCATTTTCGTACCGCTGTGCTGCTCTGCGACTCCACCTCGTATTTTTTGCGACTTCCGCGATTTTTATCGTGGGATCAAAAAGTGTTACTTACTTGTGAGAAATAATCGACGTCTCTTGTGTCCTGATTAATAAAGCACTTACTGTAACAATTTATTATATAGAAGTATATACCAAATAAGGAGCTTTTGAACTTCGATGTCATCTACCTCGATCAAACGATGTTTATGGCGTAATAAGTTTAAAATTCCTTGCGAAGAATTTATTATTTCTCATAACTCTGGCAATCTTTTGCAACTACGAAAAATGGACGTTATACAGATACGTACAACCGCATTAATAAGTAAAGCAATCTTCTGGTTTATACCTTGCGCTAGCTTGGATTCAAGATGCGAAATGGATCTTTCATCTATGAAATTAGGCACAAAACGTTGCGCGTCTAATTAAACACGGGCTCGTACTACTTACACCTAGAGAAAATTCTTTCTCGTGACTAGTAGAAGATTTATTTTTTTTTTTGGCAACTATGAGGATGTTATTAAGTACCACTAATACCTACCAGGACGAATATTTAAAAGAAGAGGCATTCAAAAAAATTCATATATCTCCAGCGTAAATTGTGAAATGGGGCGGAACAATGGTAACGAAAACGTAAAAACTGGTAAAAGCGAATCCTCGATGAATTGTTGGAAAATTTTGACACGTTTATGAACGCGAGGATAACACACGAAAAGCATTATCGAAAAATTTCCGGTGTGCACTTGATGCCTTGAGTTCTCATTACTCAAGATCGGTATTCCCCACAGGCTCTGTCAAAGGTTCTTTCACGTTTTGAAACGAAAGACAGCGACGTGCTGCGGTTTGATTACATAGAATTTAATAATCTACGGAAGCCTGACGATATATAGATCTTTGTTTTAACGTCTTCACGCATTTTACTCAAATCAGTTCCAAAATATACCCTATATCAGCGCAAGAATATACTTATTAAACTTGTAAAGATGGAACAGATTCCGTAGAAAATCTATATTTGAGTGTTAAACCACATAAGCGAAGAAGCGGATATAAATGCGTTTTTTGTTTCTATTGGAAATCTCCCCTTTTGGTATTTACATCGTTTTCAATTTCAACATCTCGATTCACTTACCGATACGTTTCAAAAACAAAGCTCTTATTTATATATATATGATATTTCTGATAATTAAAAAAGTCACCGTTATTTTATCTTTCGTTTAATTAGAATGCAAATGCTAGCGAAAAATCTCAACTGCCGCGGCCAGTTTCCGTGATATGCAAATGTTCGTATTTCACCAGAACGTTCCGAGGAGAAATCCTTTTTCCTTTCCTCTTTTTCCTCTACCAAATACCTTCAATCGGCCCAGAAAGTTAAAAAAAGAAAAGAACGCGACGTAATAACAAAGAATGTTCAAAATCTCTGCTTTTGGCTAACTGACCGGATTCAGTTTCCGCAAAATCCGCCGATCAAAATTTAATTTCATTATTGCATATTCGACACACGGACGGCAGTAGGTAGACCGGACCACGGATTTTGTAGCCTATAAAGCTTCTATTACTCGTATTTAAATTTTTCAGGAAAGCCAGCCAGACGTTACCTGTACGCGCTACACTTTACATTGGCAAATGCCATTCATGCATGTGTTACCTCTTTTTTGTGCCGCAGGTTTATTGCGAAACGATATCGAATTAAAAATATTCAATATATCGCAATCATGGCGCGTTAATGCTTGAAATTTATTTTAAGCACGAGCTCTTTAACGATTTCTAAGTAAATAGATATAGAAAAGGAATACTTAAAAGGGTCAAACTCTTTGATACTTCTAATATTAATTATTAAAAGCGTGTCCATTGTTGGGAAACTATTAGTATAGAGAACCTGCTTGATAATTACCTTTATATAACTTCTATACGAGGAAGAAACTATTCGCATCCATACTGCAC